GTTGTACAAGTGGTAACACTTAATTTATGCGTGAATAATAAGGAATAATAATAATAGTAATAATAATAATAATAATAATAGTAATATTAATAATTATATTTATAATATTAATAATAAGAATAATAATATTGAAGAATAAGAAATAAGGAATTATTTTTTATATCCTTGATTTCGCTATGTAGGAAAATGTCAAAAGGGGCCAAATTATGTTTGGAGTCTTTGCCGTGAATTGTCTCTTGGATTCGATTACTTCTAAACTATTCATTTGACTAATATTGATCTTGCTTCTCTTGGTGAATAGTTCAGAAAGCAGTGAGTTTGATCTTTTTTCTTTAGTGATAATTGAGGGTCAAATTTGCTTCTTCATTTTGATCAATATGTCAAAGTTTTAATAAATATTTTGAATGGGTACATATAGTGTAACTAATGCCACTGATATATTTGTATTGTCCATTCTAATGTATGGTTGAATTTTTAGATGTTTTGATCGTAGGTGTCCCTGACGCACCGACCAAGTTGTGCATGCAAGGTCGAGCCAACACTATTCAGATGTTTAACTTGTACCAAAATATTGTGATCAGGGAATTTCCGGATCTTTGAGCACCCTTATTTTGGGAGGCCAGTTAAGTTACTCAAAGTTTTACTTCGCTCAAGTGAGGAGATAGAAGTCCACGAAATAATATATACGGCTAGGCATAAGCTTATGTCATTGAGGTCTTTTTTTTAATAAAATATATGGGAGTAGAGGTCAAGTCGTATGAGTAGTTTTTTTCATGAGATTTAACTGAGGCTGAAAAGTGGCTAATTAAATGTTTTAAAAAAGAATACGACAAGCTGCAACAGCCTTAGCGATCGAAAACGTAGACTATCCTTGATGTTGGCCTTCAATTCCTCTCATTCAATCGTCTTTTATGAACGTAATGACTTTTTAATGTGTTATCAGGCCCTGAAACTTTCAGTAGATCTAGATTTAATTTCTTCGTCAACAGCTATTTCTAAGACCGGCAAACTGAATTTTTCATTAGGCATAACGTTTAAAGCTTGACAAATAACTTGAGATTCCCTTTACTCATGCTTCTACAAATATTTGTTTCGAAAAAAATATGAAAGGGTGGATAGCAGACAGGTAAATGAATAATAACCTCAAAACTAAAATAAATGCCCAGTGTGAGAGATGAACAAAATATATTTTCTCTAAATGTATAATTTTTATAGTTCACAATGGATGAGTATTCAAGTAAATTCTTATTTTAATTTGTAATTCTAGTCATATAGGAGACATAAGTTTATAAATGAGAATTTTAAATCTGAAGGGTCCAGTCTATAGTTATTTCTGCTGAGTGGTAAAGAATAGGAATAAAGTTAAATCATTCAGCTTGACGGAGAACCGAGTTGATAAAGACAGGTAATTGGCTATACTGCCAGCCAAAGAAGTGAAATTCATATTAAATTGAGGGGTAGATTGCAAAAGTTTGCTGGTATCATAAATACACAAAGATCGAAGCAAATATATTTAATAACAGTTATACACTTATTTTGATGCTCCAAAAATTGTTCATTTACAAGGTCTTGTAAACATCAAAATTTCTAATAACTGTCAGGTAACTAGAAAAAATGTCTATTCTACATGGAAATATAAATCAATTTATATACTTAACCTAATATACTTTACATGAAACATTATACTAGCGAATAATAAATGTTTAGTGTGAAGGATAAAATCGACTGAAATTAAAATATGACATTAGGTCCAAACAGATAGACATTTTGGAAAAATTTTGAACCTAGTTTTTTTATTGTGAAAATATAAATAAATCCTAGTTATAATCACACAGACAGCAGTCTCCTATTCTTAAAAACCGATTTAACATTGAAAACGCTATTTGTTTCTTAAAGTACAGATCTGAGGTAAAGTTAAGTCATTTTCTCTTGAAGTCCTTTAAAATGTTCTCGACTTAACTGAAGTCTGATTTATTTAAACTTAGAACATTAACAGGAAGACCCAAAGGAATGCACCATGTCAGGAGTCCATAGTATGCATAATAATTTCCAGTCGGACTATGTAATTGGTATATTCCCAGACGTTGTGCCGGCATCGTCAGTAAGCCTCACCAATCTTATCGCCACACTACAACTCATCAAAAGAAGTAAGTGAAGTCCATACTTTGACCAATTGTCTGCTGAAAAGTTGTGGTATCCCTCCTTCTGACCTGGGCTATTCACATATCCTATATCATCGTGTCACACCTTCGCTATAACAATTTATTACTTGTTTATTTAAATGTGGTGCTTTTGAGCGGATTTCATGAGAACTCTCCACACTCCACGCTGGCTCTCTCACCCTCCTTCACTCTTGTGTTGGGAATGTTGATCAGAGTCTGCCATATTGTTACGCAGTCCTCCTTCCACAGGACTCATCAAGGTATCCCTCTTACCCCGTAGGATCCGTCAGCTATCTCTCTGGTTCAAGTATTTCCCTCAACCCATAGCACACTATCTGTGCTCTACGAGGATTTATTTCCCACACGCAGCCTCTGGGAGGCTAACTTAGGCCACAAGCCCCTGAGTAATTCTCATGGTCAAGCCTTTGCTTCATGGACCACGGCGGAGACTATAGCTAGTTGGCTGACCTTAGTCCGGTTTTGCCATAGACGGGGTCCATGAAGCATAGGCTTGACAATAATAATAACGCTCAAATGGACACACCATACCACATTTAAATAGGCAAGTAAAAATTGCGATAATTAAGGGGTGATACGAGGATGTAGGATTTGTGATTAGCCCAGGGAAGATAGAGAGATACCACAACTGTTTAGCACACATTTAGTCAAAGGATCGGCCCCACTTGTCTCTTTGATGCGTTGTAGTGTGATGCTAAGAATGACAATATTCACTGATGGAGCCGGCGAAACGTTTGGGAATGTACCACGTCCACGGTTAGACGTTATAAATTATCATGCATACACTGGACTCCGGACTAGGTGCCTTGCGAAAGCAAGGTCAAACAACTTCTATACAGCAAAAGGCGACTGCGACCACACAAAAGGCCACAACTTCTTGGTCCTCATACCTTCGATAAAAAGATTGAGTTGATCAGATATTGGCTCAAAATAGATGAAGGAAAAAGAAAAAAATGGCAGTAGAATTAGACGATATTATTTCATATCGTTAAACTTTTTTCGAATTGTTGATATAAACCAATTCTATCATATTTATGAGTGATTACAAATATCTACAATTTAAAATCAAATATGCCGCTTCATTAATTAAATGACTTAAAACATTGAATATTGCGTATATAAGCAGGATTTTGAGACTACCAGTAAATCAGTAATATGAGATGTCTTCACACTATTTCGTTTAACTTGATGAAGGATTGTTAGTAAAATTTTCCCACAATGATGATTTGAGCTGACGTTTCCGTTGAATTTCACATAGCATTGCTTTCCCAAAAGTTTTTCTCATCCATTGTGGACTGCAGTTTCTACTTTGCAAAGGTCTTACCAACACCCCCAGTAGGAGTCGAACCGTGACAGTGCAGCATGTGAGCTTGGCCTATTACCCACTCAGTCACATTACCACGAGTGTCCTTGTGTCACAGGGCAGATGTGGATCTCAAGGAAGACCAGGCCTAGGTAATGTAAGCGATTGTTATTTCAAAAATACGTGTGCTTCATCGAGAATCCCACCAAAGAATGTGATATGGGAAAAGGCCTGGTCTTCCTTAAAATTCACGTTTGCCCTGTGAAACAAGGGCACTCGTGGCAATGTGTCTGAGTGGTTAACGTGGTTAACGACATGCCGGGGGTGTTGATGAGACCGATGCTAGGTCGAAAATACAGTCCACTTCAGCCTGGATAAGAACAACTTTTTGGAAAGCAAGGCTATGTGAAATTCAATGGAAACGTCAGGTTTTCTCATATCATTGTGGGAAAATTATACTACCAGTCCTTTATCACCTTGAGCGAAATAGGGTGAATACATCTGATTAAACATTCCGGACCTTCGCAAACGCCACACAATTAGCTTAAAATGACATAAGTACTTAAATAAAGATGAGTAGCTATACTCTACGTTTCGTGAAGCTAATTATGTTGCAGGAAATCCTGATTCGTCAAGGGAGGTAGAATTGTTCTTGGTTTATGATTAAGGGCCGAAATCCATTCGAGCCGACATTTCACTTTTTAATATGTGGTTTGCAGCCCGGAGATGTTTATTTTACATGGTTTACTTTGGTGTCTGTTAATGATTGTAACTATTGTTAATTTTAGTGTGTGAGATGACTCCTAATGTTTCTTGAAATATTATTAAAAGATGGAACCATATGAAGTGGCTAAAACAAATAAAATCCAAGTATAAGGGAGAGTTAGACAAGCGTATTTTTATATTAATGTTGTTCATGCTAATCAGTGACGTTCAAAGTCAAATACCCCTGAAGACCCTAGTACTTTCGTTTTTCTTACTACTATCTCATATTAAGTAACTTTGAAAAAATCTTGAATGCTTAACTTAACCAAGGGTAAAAATTACTTTCTTTTATTGCATAGATTTTGTGATGAATATTTTGTAGAAAAGTTTCGGCATACCACTTGTGAAACCTGCTGAACACATTAGTTATGCTAAAGTGTTTTTGATTTCAACTTCAGTAACAGCTCCTCGCACATTTTGCGTCAAATCACTTAATTACTCTTTTAGCAGCACCAATATAAATTAAACCCGAATGAAACTTCAGAAAAAATTACTTCATGTATTTTAGTTGAATATTTTTATGCATTTCGTTTTCTGACGCAGAACTTTTCTTGTGTACATATAACAAATACTTTACATACTTCCTCTTGGTAGACCCGTGATCTATATTTCTGTTGGCCGGTAGTAAGGACAGCACCCGACATGCTTAGCTCCAAATGCTTATTGAGACCTTCCTGAGATGCAACATCAGGTGTTTCACAATTTTTGCCTTTATTCTCACATAAATAGCATCTGAGCGTTTCTACTACTGCTCACTTGACTTTATTTACAACAGGAGAAGCCGCCTTTTCTGTTTCAGAGGCCAGTTCCACTTCATCTATCGTGTCTCTGTTGATTAAAGTTACTTGGAGATCGTAGCCAGTGCTATGCTTCTGGCCATGAGCACAGCCCTCCTGTCCCCTGTCACCGACTACGTAGGTATCTAAGTTGGTTTCACCATCTGGCCCACCAATGCTGTTACCGTTGCCTATAATATCATCAGCCGTGTATAATTTGTGCATCCTGCTCTTTGCTACCGTGCGGATCTGGTATCGACGCTGCAACTCGGATGGACAGAGCCGCCCAAGGGCAGTAATGAAGCCGATCCTGTAGGTCGGGTTCATCCAGGCATAAACAAATGGGTTGTAACAAGAAGCCGAACTACTTATGAGTATGACAAGATGCCAGGTCAATCCGAAACCTGCTCTGCACCAATTCACAAAGGTACCATACAGGTAGACCACATGCCGGGGTAGCTGGGATATAGCATAGAGTAGAGTGACGGTTAGCATCATTTTCACCATCTGGCAGGAAGTAAAGAAAGCAAAAATATAGGAGTAATTTCGGTACTATGCAAGTAATAATTGTACCGCAATTATTTCGAAGATCAGTTTATATTTCGTTAATAGATGAGATTGGCCGATATCAAAAAGTAAAATCAGTAACCGGAAAAACAAAAGTTGCGTATCAACATTCATTGACAAAAATAAATAAATTTAGAATTTTTTCTCATGTGATAAATATATTCAGAAAGTAGCTTTTAAACGGCTATAAGATATGCCATGAAATGCAAATAGAAGTTTATATTAACATAGAAGAAGAGAAATACAGACAATTATGAGAATAAATAAAAACGGGGACACAAGAATTCCCTAGTCATATAGTGTGACATGACATTCCTTTTTGAGGGAAAATTTAGTTGGAAGAAATTCGTGACGTAGTCTGACCGGAAACCAAAAATGCGTTATGTGGCAGCTGTTTTATCCCACAAAACTTAGCGTACAATCGCCTAATGCTTAATCATGTTTGGGCTTGTGCTATTGTCTATTGTGTGTATGTAATGCTCATGTCATGGGAAGTGTGATAGTCCTAGCTAGACACGTGGATAATCCGGCCTCCTTCTCTTGCTCAGTGGCTCTTCCTTCACCCCCTCTCTCTCATTACTTAAATCTATCCAGTAGCCACAAAAGGCCCTACTTATTTTTCTACACTCGTTCCTCTTATTCAGGACGTTGGCTGTTTCTGTTAATTTATATAGTCTTCCTAATCTTACTCTTTATGTCAAATAGCCTTAACCCGCAAAAGGTTGTGTTTCGGACCAGCCTATTGAGTGTCCGGCATTGGCCATGTGTTCAGCGAGCTAAAATTTGTGGACCCATAGACCTTCACAATTGGTTTTGTGATCACAAAGTCTTTTCTGGATGGGTCGGCAGGACTCCCCCACTTAGACCTTACCACATGAGCACAAAATATTGTAAAAGCTCGATTTAGAAAGAAGGTCCGAACATTATCTACGCGAAGGAACTACTGAAGATACTGTTAATTTCTCTACTTACATTGTTCTACTTCCTAAGTAGATCACCCAACTTCTTCGCAAGCTGATAGTAAGGCAAAATCAGAGCTAATTTTCTATATCGTCCCCTCATCTTGTTATGGACAAATGAAATGTAATTTTCTTTTAATCTAATTGGATAATTGTTTTGAAACAATATATGCCTCAATCTAACGATCTCCTGGTCCATGTAGTTTACAATTGATGTGAAGACTTTCATTTTGTAGGAAAGTAATTGATTAAGAGATTCGTAGTTCAATCTCATCAGAACACTTGGGCTGATTCGCATTGTTCTGCAGCTGCCTTGCCTTAGTATGACGTTCAGGTTGATGCAGATCGCAAGACATCCTCCAACGTTTCGGGCGAAGACGAGCTGAGCTTTAGTTAGTCCTATCCGAAGATAAGTTGGGTTTCAAGGAATCTCTTGTTTCATAATTGTTGTACATTTCGAGTGAAAGTGTTTGATGAAAAGATTCAAGGGTCGATTCCACCAGAAGACGACGGCGGATTCCTCTTGACCAGCTGTCGATTGGCTTTACTGGAATATTC